GACCGCCGGTAAGAAACGATGAATGGATCACTAGGCCGGCACTGGACAAAATGCAGAATTGGGGCCATAAAAACACTTCCCTCTTCGGGAGGGCGTTACTCATAAACAACGTGGTGCTCGCATCCATTTGGTATAAGTCGGCCCTCTGCCAACTCGGAAAGGATAGCACCAGGGAACTCAAAAAGCATCTGGTTGCCTTCCTCTGGCGGGGGAATCATGAGCAACAAAATGTAATCAATAGGGTGGCTTGGGACAAGCTAATCCAACCTAAAACCAAAGGGGGTTTAGGCTTATTGGACCCCGCTCTTCAAGCCACTGCACTATCAATCCAATGGATCAAAAAATTAATAGTAGGAATAAATCCTTCATGGCGGGATCTGGCTTTGGAACAAATCCGTCGACTCGCACCACGAACCGCCAACACTGTTAACCCCCTCACATGGTTGGAGGACCGATATTGGTCTATACCCCGCCCCCGCCTTAATTCCGAAGAGGAAGGAGACAGAGGAGCAGCCAGGCAAGATTTGGTAAAAGATAAATCATGGATTGACCTTACTAAAAACTAGAGGAGGTTGCCAATCCCCGACAGACCAGCCCCGGAACGAGCAGAGGAAATCTTGCGTCAACCCCTTTTTGGGAATAGGGCAATCACGGACAGACAAGGAAGAGTTTTCGTCAGCTTGGACCCCCTCTGGGCCTCATGGGTTAGGCAAGGTATTCTTAGAGTGGGGGATATTTGGGATGAGGTAACCAAAGACTGGAAAACAACTCAACAATTACGGCCTAGCCTACGCCACACTCGGAACCTGGCAGAGGCCTTGGAACAGTTGATATTTTCAATGCCCCTTGCCTGGGTGAGGACCCTAAGAAAGGGCACGATACTACAAGAGCAGGACTGGGTAGCAGTAAGGGTAGTCAACTCCCCCTTACAAATCAACACGATAGTTGAGGCCAGACCGGAAGGGGCTATGGTCAACCTTTTCCAGAGAAGAGGGGACGATTCCCTGGTATGCTACCACCCAGACTCGGTCCAATGGCACGAGAGGACCAACCTCTACCGAATCCGGGTCCTGCAAAGCCATAAGGAAGGGAGGACTCAATTGCGGGCATTTTTACCAGAAGTCCCCCTGTCCGCTTTAGCCCTGGACCGTTTAGAATGGCAATGGGTTAGGGGACGGAACGGTCAAACTGTATACCTCTTCGAGTTGTCTGTAAAAGCTACTTATAGAATGATCAAACCTCGATTCGACATTCGGGCAGAGATAGAAGAACGCTGGCAGAAGCACCGAGGCCTACATAGGGGACAAGTGAGAGGGTTGAAGTGGTTTAAAGGGGTGAAAGAGAGACCAGCAAAGTTTGCCTCCCTACAATGGCAAATTTGTCACCGCTGCCTCCCCACCAATGATTGGCTCATAGACAGGACGAACCTGGAGCAAAGAGGGATCGCACTCCCCTGGTGTAAGTCCTGTAAAGCAGGGTTCCCGTCCCGAAAAATATGTGAGACAATTGAACACATCTTTCTCCAGTGCCCGGGCGCCTCCCTACCGTGGCGTTGGTGGGATCGCATTTGGTCTCAACTGGGCACTCATGAGGAATGGTCATGGAAATGGGAAGCGCTTTTGCTAGGCAATGGAACAGGCCACACGCATCCCGCTTCGCTAACAACCTCTTTACCATATCCAGGAAGGCTGTAATCTGGGCCTAGTGGACAAGGAGGTGCATCTTTGACCAGGAAGGGGCCAGAATGGAGGAAGGGGAAGTGGCGTCTACAGTCAAACAATTTGTGGAAACAGAAATAAGAGCACAATGGTGACGATTTCAGAAGAAAATGATAGTTCTAATACAAAAATCAGACATCATCAAATAAATTCACACCTTCTGCGCAGAATGGCTAGGAGGGGAAAGGGGGGGCAGGATGGCTCAAACAGACTGGCCTGGGGAAAAGAGAGATGAGGGAGGAAGCAGTGACGTTTCCAAGGACCACAAGGACTATAAGCTCAGATTTCACGACTGGCTGCAAGTCAAATCCAGCACCCCAATGAAAAGTCCCGAGGACTTCCCAGACATGTTCCCGCTGTCTGCCACAACCATAGTAGAGAGACAATGGTTTCGTTAGCAGTTGAACAAGGGGGTGCATCCGACGCCTGTTAGTGTAAGTGATTGTTAGAGTGTTTGGCTGGGACGCCCAGGGGCTCTGGGCATCCAAAAGGTCCTTGGTGGTAATTGCGGCGCTGGATATCAGAGTCATCATTGTCGGTGTGAGGGAGGAACTAGAATGTAACAGTAGGCATCTGGCGCCAACTTAGGGTGAAGAGGTTCCCGCCCACGTCCCAATACCCTGCCCACTCAATCCTTTGGACATTAGGGCAATCAATGCGGCCAGGAACCCTCCACTTTCTTATTTTGATCTGCAATGAATTACTCCGTCGCCTTCCAGCCAAAAGGCTACAAGTAGGAAAGGAGAAGGTAGGTTTTAGCGCTTTGCTCAACAACCTGCTCAGTCAATCCTCTGAATTCAGAGTAATCAATGCTGGCAGGAGATTCTCAGTTTCCCAAAAAAAAAAAAGGGCTGGACGTTGGACCTGGTTTCCAGCAACAGGGTCCTTCCCGGACTGTCGCATGGTCATGTTTTTTTGAATTTTCTTGTTTTTTCACCTATGTATTTCTAAAGGACGCTGAGCCTGTTTCTCACCAAAGATGTATCAATGGGACGCTGGACCCGGTTTCCAGCAGGTGCTGCTCCCCACCAATAGATGGAGCCTCCCTGATGGTGCTAGTGGTGTTTGCTCTTATCAGCACCCCTAGCAGCTGCTCGGGCTGTTTAAAAAATAATAATAATAATAATAAAAAAATGGAGGTCCTTTGGCAAAGCAGCCCTGGACATGGAGGCCACCCTTCAAGTCCAATCCAGTTCCTTGAAGGGAATTAGCTCCTCTTGCTAGAATCGGAGAAAGGGAAGAGCTAGGCTGTATTCTTTGGAGTCTAAGGAAGACTTCGGAAGCTTTGACCAGGGAGGAACAACTCTCTCAGTTGTTCAAGAGTAGGAGCTTCCCCGAACCAGGCTCTTTTGACCTTGGCCCAGGCACTAATGAGCTTTGGAAAAGGCTCTAATCAGTCCCACGAACTCCAACCCTAGGAGAGCAGGCAAACACCCCAATGGACTGCAGAAGCAAAATCTGCCAAGGTTTGCCAAGTGCCCAAGCCTCATGAATCCTTCTAACTTCCCCCGGATAGATCTAAGAATCAATGAAGTGGTTTGGCAGAAGAGGAAGGATGATGGGGTTTGCCTTAGGTGTGTAGGGAAACACTTTGTCAATGAGTGTCCCGAGTGGGGCAACAACAATTCAAAAACTGAACAGGCCAGCAGAGGTAGCAGCCACCCCTGCCGAAATGAATTCATCTACTTCGGAAGATGAATCAGTTTCTGACCCCGAGTCTGGTCCGGATGCAATGGACTCTTTGTTTTCATACACTGAGCCTTTTGTTGATGAGCCCTTGTCAGAGGCGGAGCATGATCAGCTCCGTTTTCTTCACCTTCAGTTGAAGGGGAAGAGAAGCTTGAGATCTGAACTGATCTTGCTCAAGCCTCTCATCAGCTGGCCCAACTGTCAGTACCTTGTTAAGTTCCTCTTCCTACCACCGAGAACAGGTGGTTTACTCAAAGGGAACTTCTCAAGACAGTCAAGCCCATTGTATTGGCTTATGAGGCTAAAAAGAAAGGGTTTCGTACCCCGCCGTTCACCTTGTTGTCACTATCAGCTCGTCGGTCCTTGCTCCCCTGGAGGGTAGGAGTGCAATGTTCTTGCAGTTTCCCAGGAGGCTGTGGCACGTATTGGGACCATTTTGCAATTTTCCGAAGTTTCGGGTCCTAACCGGTGATTGAAACAGGCCTAAACCGACAAGGATTGTTCTGCACATTCTCTTTACTCCAGAAACAGGCCCTACTGGGCCTAACTCTCGCTCGTTGAGGCCTTAACCGACTGTTGCTTTACTTTTGCCTCAAACTGGTACCATTGTTACTGAAAAGATAGACCCATAACTGTTAGTTGGTCTACCTTTGCCCTAGACCAGTACCGTTGTTACTGGAAAACCACAGACCCATAACTGTTTGCTGGTCTTAGGTACTTGGCAGTCCATTCCGGTAGGGGTTAGTGCAGAAGTTAAAATAAAATAGGTCCGAAGTGTTACCTCTCTTTGGTGATGCAGTTGTTTAGTGCTCTTCACGCCACCAGGCTGTTGGGGCAGCATTGTAGCTGGGAAGCCACTGCCAGGGTTTGAGCAGCAGTGAAGCAGGTGCTTCATCTGCTGGGTATGCTGGCACCATATCTGTGTTGTAGGGTTAGGCACTGCCATATCTTCTTCTTCGTGGCACCAGTTCTTCTTCTTTTTCTTCACGCTGGAGGTCCCTTCTTCATTCTGAAGCTGGCGCCGCATATTCTGGGAGGTCCCTGGCCCAGCGCTGGAGCATCTGAGTGTTGTCTGGGTTGCAATGGTGCTTCTGAGACCATAAGAGGGAGGCAGTGGTGGTCTGCAAGGATTAGGGCTGGACGCTGTGTGTTGGGCTGTGCGCCATAGCCGGCTCTGTGGAGGATGATGCTGGAGGGAGGAGGAAGCCTCCAGAGGCTTGTTGAAGCTTGGTTCTGAGTTTGTTCGAGGTGCTTTATTCTCGGTTGAGACTGATTGAGCTGGAGAGAGGCGAGGGGCTATGAATTGATCATTTTCAATTCTTCTGGAGTGTTGCATATCTCAATCTTTTTGGTGTGAATTCCCTCTCCAAAGCTACTTTGTCATCTTGCCATGTGTGTGGGAACATGTTGAGGATCTGCTGGGTTGCGTTTCAATCAGTCACATAACACACTCACAAAGAACACACGCACACACACACGTCAGCGAGCACATGCAATGGGAAAACTAGTTGTGGTTCAGTTGGCTTGAGTAGGAGACTGAAGTAAAGAGGAAGGATGCGGGAGAAGGAAGAGGCATAGGGCAGAAGCACACACCTCAAACCTCCGTCCTGTGCTTGTTTCTCAGCTTGTGAGTTCATAGACTCCTTGTTTTGCTCAGCGCTTATGGATCGTCTGGATCGCTTACGTTCCGAGAAAGACGGAAAGGCTCCTCCAACAATTGGAATGGTGAGCTTTGGTTTCCTTAGGAGGTTCTGTACAGTCAACTGAGTGTCAGACCCAAAATCCCCCACTGCCGGCAGTGGTGCAGTAGCCCCCTCCCCATAAGCTCCAACTGCCTGTGCAGCGGCTCTTGCCATGTCCACATTTTCCAGATCCATTCTTTGGGACATGACAACCATAGACCCAGGTAGAGCTGAGGATGCCGTTTGACCGGCAGCATACGAAGTGGAAGAATGGGACAGAGCTTGTTTACTATCCTTCAACAGGCCTTGCAGTCGGGGCTTTGAGGCACCTACAGCACTACCCCCCTCCGATCCTCCATCTCCACTTCCTCCGCCTTCTGAGTCCTGTGCCAAGGGGGCCAGTAACCTGCTGCCTTCCTGCAGTACTGACATGGCTTCTTTTTTCTGAAATGATGTGGAGTCACCTGTTGATCGTTGTTGTTGCTGTTGCTGCTGGTCCGGCCAATCAGATTGTCGAGGAGTGCGGTTAAATGCACCCTTCAAGATGCCAGGAGTGGAGACATGACTTCTGTCACCAGGTGTGGAAGGTCCCATTGGAACCAGGTTGATTGACACTCCATGGCGCACTGGCACACGCTCGCCCTTCTCCATGATGTCATGAACTGTCTTCTTTCCAACCACAAATCTTATCACAGTACCTTCTCTCTCTCTCTCTCTCTCTCTCTCTCTCTCTCTCTCTCTCTCTCTCTCTCTCTCTCTCTC